CTAAACACTTTTTGAAGTACAGAAGGCAGAACACTCAACACTTTGGCTTTGTCACAGCTGACAGCCTGTCAGTTTTAATGAAAATGCTCTCCGTTTAGAAGATGACAGAAATTACATGCATTTCTCCTTTTATTTTTCTGTCATCTTTTCTGTCTTGCATTTTTACAGTAGAAGGAGGGGTTGGTTATTAAAGCATTGCATAAGTACGCAAAATATATTAAGAGGAAGAGAGGAAAAGGAACAGCTTTAGCCCTGCAATTATACACAATGTATGTTGGTGAGAAATGTATACTGTGGGATAACATCTGATGTGTGGCAATAACTATTTACTTTTAGTTGCCTTTAAAGAGGATGAGGCAAAAGTCTCTAGATAATGTTTTAAATGAAGGTTGTTTTATACGACTGCCTGAGTAATTTCCAACAGGCAAATGATCTAAGCAGTGTTAGATAGCTCAAGTATGTTCATAACTTCTCTAGAAAATATAGCAAGGTAACACTGAACAATTACTTGGCTCTGCACAGCTTTCACAAACCTCTTTTATTTAGTGGCAGGCTTTTGATAAGTTTACCCACTCTCATTGACCCAGACGTATAACTGCATCTGAGGAAACTCTAGGACTGAGGAAGGCAGGCTTCACTTGCAAATATAAGTCAGTACTATGAGATCTGGAAATAGCCCCCAAATCTATATATATTCTTCTACCTGGCAGTAGCCACTCAACATGTTTCCCCAGTTGCAGTTCCAATGCAAGTATTAGCAGCAATAACGTGTATAAGGTAGAAATACTGAGGAAGTGAGCTTTTGGCGGTTTTAAGGGAAGCTCTTAATTTGATTTTCTAACTTAATTTCTGTGACAGTTGCTTCATGCTTATCCTAAGAAGTGAGACAAATTTAATTATTAATGATGGCCTGTACAGACCATATCTCAAAATTGTGCAGAGGATCTGAAAATAGTGAAAGCTTTAGAAAAGCATAGAGAAAGGAATTAATTTCTAAACTTTAGACACATTTGTATGGTCTTAAACTTCTGCATACTAGTAGTCTCCAATAGTGTGACTCTTTGTAGAAATGGAATTATGTATAGTTAGCAAAGGTGAAACTGGATCCCAGAAAAAGCAAGCTACATGAAGCCCTTGTACAAGGAACACATTTCTGCCTCTCAGCTGTTTAGGTTCCACTTGCTTAACACAAATGCACAGCACGTGCAGATTTACTGGAGCGACCAAAATGGTCACAAACATTCCATTAGCACCTTTTTATGTGTTCCTGGTCCTGTGACGTGATAGCAGCTGAGCAGCATCTCCACCAACATCTACACCGTGTAGTCTGGCAACAGAGTTACATCCCAGCTTGAAAAGTCTGATCTAAGTCTTGATCAGGCTGCAGAGGACATGTCTGCTTTCAGCAGCCTGGCAGCCCTGCCAGCCAAGTGGCATTGCTGTGGGCAAGCACATGTCTGGACTGGCTGTGCTGTCTGAAATACAGAGCTGGTTAATGCTCACACAGCTGGAAACAGAAGCAAGAAGAGATTGCCTTTGCTGCATGCCCATCATTAACCCCAAGTAAAGTCCTTAAATGTGATTCCCATCTCCTGAAGCTGTCATTTTATGCTGCCTGCAGACTAAGGAAGACAAGTGTGCTTTAATTACCTGTAGTCCTTATAACATATTTCTTGGCAAAGGTAGGTTTGCTTTATGAATATTTCAGTAGTGCAGAATCTGCATGTGACACACAAGTAAAACTGCCCATGGTTTTCACACCAAAATTCTAAATAGCCTTCTAACCTAGAGTTAGGGGTAAAGGTAAACCTTGTTAAAGGGTACAGATGTTGAGTACCTATGTGATGAGGAGATAGGTTGGAACTGGACAAGTGTTTATGTCTAGAGTAATTGGGGACTGTGAAAGGAAAAGGAAGAAATACTCAGCACAGGACATCACATTATATCTAGGAGTTACAATGTGAGAATCAACTGGAAAAAAAAAAAAAAAAAGAAGTATTCTCTGACCAACAGGAAGTACTTCTTCTGCGTGAATCGCTATGAGCCTGCTTCCCTAAAGAGGTGGTAGGATTCCCCTTGCGGTGGCTTTCGAGCTGGACTGTATGACTGACAGCAGGTAAAGAACAACCCTGTGATTGTTAAGGGCGTTCACTAGGTGATTGCCTACACACTTGCAGACTATGCTTTCTGGTTGCTAGTAGGTAGCTGTTAGCTGCCTGGTATTTGTAGAAAACCTCGTTAGCATGTTTGGTCAAGCCAAGCTATTTTGTGACTAGCAAATAAATAACTTATTAGTAATTGAGAAGCTAAGTAAAACATATTTTATTGGTTTAACTTATTAACTGCCTATATCATTTCTTCCAAACATTACAACTAACATATTACAATATAAGATGCAAGATAGCTTTGCTTTTTTCATGTAACCTTTTCAATGCCATATTTCAGACAGCTGGCTGTGAAACTAAGATATTACCTACTCAGGTGCTTTTCCTATGACACAAAACAGTACATTTGTTTATAAGTTGAAACACAAGCCTTCTGTATGCAAGCAAATACATTTTCAGAGGCATATGAAGTCAATATGGCCTCTGTATAAGAAAGAACCTCCCTAGCATGCAAACCCCCTAGGCTGGAATATGGTGTTGCTCATGGCTGAGGAGGGTGCTCTTGCCATCCAGTCCTACCTCCTCTTTCACACCTTCCCTTGCCCAACTCTTCTCCTTCAGTAGCAAGCAAGTAGCTCTGTGTCTTCTATGCCTCCATTTTGGGGATTTATTTTGTTAATATACTTCTTAGTAATGGCACGTGTTATTTGAACAAACAAGGTACTTCAGAAGGACATGTGCAGTGTGGTTTATGCTCTGCCAAAATGGTGACCTGTCTGCTTCCATGCTTGTGCCTTGACTTTCAGGAGAAGAGGGTCAGCCAAGACAAGTCGCCAGTGTGGCTATAATTCAGTATGCATACAAGGATGAGAGAGTTGGGCTGATGTTGTTTTATTGAATATTCTCTTCTCTAAGGGACAGTCCTGTCCTGTGACATTAAACAGTTGTTAAAATTTTTTTTCTCATTTCTCTTAGATTGTGGTTTAAAAGGAGATTGCCCTCTGTAATGATACCATTTCCTTTCTGTCTTTTCTCTGCTGGATTGCTTTCCCACTGATGCATTTGTGAGCACGCACCCTGACTACACTTAATTATTAAAAAGTCATTTCTCAAATAGAGCTCTGAAGAAAAGGAACTATTTCTTACCACATATTACTGAATATTAGTTCATAATGGGTTTCATCTTTGTGTATTCTCTCCCCTACTTTGGGAGCCAGGTGTATTTTATAATACATAGGTACAGATATGTATATTGTAAAAGCTACTACCTACTAGAGAAAAAATAGCAGACATAAAAGAGAAAAGATATCAACATTTTCTCCCGTTTAAAAGTTTTAGAAAAACATATATAACTTAGACTGAGGTATTTTTTAATTGGAAAACGTGGCCAGGTAAGGCCCAAATTTGCAATGCATTCTAACCACATAACTTCCGTTTCTTGTAATATGGCAAAAGCTTTAGAGTAAACATGTACCATGTAGACATTAGCTTTTTTGTGTCCTTGTTTTTACAACATGCGTTTGCAACAGAACAGAGGCAGCTGTGCAGGTGTCAAATGATCAAAACTGCACATGTGTACATATATACCATGATGATTTCCACATATTCTAGAGTTAGTAATAAAAAATACGTATTTGAAGGGAATTTCTACTATATTATTTTCAATTTGAATGAACACTGGGAGAAATGCTGACCATGAACATGTCAGTCTTGTTCAGTTTTAGGGGGCATTCACTTTGCTGGACCTAATTTTCTTCCTAAAATAAACCTTTCTGTGCAGAATTAAAAAAAAAAAAAACACAAAAAACTTTGGATATTAACATGTCCTGTGCTGTCTATTTAAGCCCTTGTTTTAGACAGAGTCTGTCTCCGTTTTAGGGGGCATTCACTTTGCTGGACCTAATTTTCTTCCTAAAATAAACCTTTCTGTGCAGAATTAAAAAAAAAAAAACCCACAAAAAACTTTGGATATTAACATGTCCTGTGCTGTTTATTTAAGCCCTTCTTTTAGACAGACTCTGTCTCCCTTTGTGCTTCTTTAATCACAGACTGCAATATTAGTAAAAAAAAAAAAAGTCCACAGCAGATCCGATCATGTAATAACTCATCTGCCAGTAGCTTGGCCATGGAAGTACTGAGCTGCAAAGAGCTCAGCCCGCCCTGCTCAGGTCTGGAGTGCATTAACCCACAGGAAACATGGACAGGGTGTGGTGGGACTGTTCTGACACTCGTGCTGTCTAGCTTGCAGCTAGTGCAGGTGTGTACAACATCACTGGGGTCAGCGGTGTAGGCAACATCAGCAAGGCTGGTTTTGCTGTCCTTGCTTTCCCATCACACCTGAAGCCAGCTGTGGAGCAAGGCTGTGCAGTACATGGCTCTTACGGCTGGAATCCTTTATTAAATACCTCCCATGTTCTTGGGGTAAAAACTTCCTCCTTTTGCAAGTTTCTCTTGCTTTCACTGATCCCATGAGTTTTACTTTTTATGAGCATTTTTCTCAATTTTCTGGTGTACCTGGACAGCAAATGACATTTTGGCTAATATTGTTTTATTATGCATGCCGTCCCAGACCGTCTTTCTCACACATACAGCTCTGCTGGTGAATTGCCATCATATCGCTCTACAATATTGAATTAAACTGGATTAAATTCTGCATTGGTTCTTTACCCTGTATTTTATTTCAGATGCCTCTTGGCTATTGTTTGTTGATTGTCATATAGAACATGACACGTTTCTTTCCTCCACTCCTCACATTTTTCTTACAGATCCTTACCTTTTTTATAAGAAGTGCACATTAATTAATATCTTGATATGTGTTTGTAGTGAGTACTTAGTAAAATTATAATTGGCAGCTTCTAGACTCTGGCAAAAAAAACCTTCAGGACCCTCCATCCCATGTGTCGTCCATCCCCCAGTGTAAGCAAGCAGAATGCAGTAACAACCTGCAGGTATTTTAAATGCTGCAAATTCTTGTGTCTTTCAGGACCTAGATTTCTCATCACATCCACGGGAGCCTTGTATATTTTAGATGTACAGAATGAAGATGGACTGTACAACTACCGATGTATCACAAGGCACAGATACACTGGAGAAACACGACAAAGCAACAGTGCAAGACTTTTTGTATCAGGTGCTCCTTTATATATAATGTTAAATTAAGTATTGTATATGCCTCTCTCTGTGTGCTAAACTGGCAAGGCAGGTTCTTGTGCCCGTATGCACTAACCACCAAGCCGTCTATCAAATGGAAGGTAGAAGTGGTCAGCTGTAAGCTGCTGCTGCAAAATAAAATGTCCCGTTTTAAAATCCTTTTTCTGTTTTTCACCTCCTATTAGATATTTCCAGAAAGCCTGTGCACTGGCATTTAGTACAGTGATTATTAGTAGGTTTAGAGTTACTTTATAAAAGGACTGTGGATGGGATTCATCCCTTAAAAGTAGACATGCACAGTGAAAGTGTCTCGTCACTTTAACTTCCCTTTGTAACCGAAAAAGAGGAACACTTAGGGGCAGTGTACCAGACCTACTTGAGCTGCCCACTTTGGGGTGAGATGAATTGCCCCATGGTGCCTGTTTCTCTCTGTTAACCATAGCAGGAGCTCAGGACATTTAGCTCAGCTGTGGATATTTCCACAGCAGGAGTCTCAGGTTAGCTGAGGGGCATTTCAGCCTTCCTTTTCATTCATCATACTCCTTCCCCAAGGAAAACAGTGAGTTCCCCTGCTTCCAGGAGGGATCTCCAGCCAGAAGGGGTACATGACCTGTCCCAGGCCACCCAGGGTGCTGCAGGCAGACAGGAGTGGTTAGCTGGTGGCTGTCCATGGGCAGAGCTGAGTCCCAGGGCAAATGGCTTTGTGCAGCAGCTAGGAAAATGAGAAGGTAGATGGGGTATTTTAACTTTTCATCATAATTACAAATCCTCTCCTGATTGTTGTGTGTGTGTCAGACTGTTGGGCTCCCCACACGCCCCCTCCAAACACTCAGTGCTGTCAATACGGTGCTGCTCCAATCCCACCTTGTCCCCATTTAGTCTCAGTGAGAGGAGATGCCGGTTGTGGGTGAGGTGAGAAGGAGGAGCATACCCCAGGCCTGGGTTTGGAACTGGCTCTCAAACATCTCTGTATAGGATTAGCTCTTCTCCATCTCCCCTTCCTCTCCCTCATTTGCTGGGTGCCTGTAACTGCACCCTGTGTTTGCATTTGAGCAAATCTGCAACTGTATTCCCACATCCATAGAGTTGGCTGACTGTATCCCAGACTCTCTCTCTTCTTTCCCCCTGTATCCTTGCCTTACAGAAGACATGCCCACCATCCCACTGAAAGCCCCACAGAGTTTTTTCTCCTTTTCACTGTTACTAACTTGCCCTAAAGATCCTAAACCTAAAGATCAGCCAGGATATGGTGACCTTCACAATCTAACAGTTAGTGGGGTCATTCTTCTTTTGACCTTGTCCTCTTATCTTTTCGTCTTTTTGTTGGCAAAAAAATCTAGTGATTAGGTCTCAGCTCTTCACCCTTTGTTTGAGAGCCCTAAGGGAGACAGAGGTGGACTCAAGGTTTTGCATTAGTAGCATACTTCGTGCCCTCCTCAAAAATGGTCATTGCTGAAGGATTCTGGAGCCCTCTGAACACACAAGTCAATACTTAAATATAAAAAAAAAACAGTGTGATTGTTCAGGTTAGAATCACTTACCAGTCAGATCCAGTAGTTTCTTCCTTTGTGTGTCCCCTGTGAGTAAAACTCTTGCCTCTGCTTTTCCCAGCCAGATGAAGAAGTAGTTTGCCTGCACAACAATCTGCCTGCTTTGGTCTTAATAAGGATAGGCAGGGTCCTATCCTTCTAGCTGGCTCCATAATATGGTCTACTTCCGTATGAAATCATGCTAAGGCTGAGCCAGTGGTAACATAAATAAAATCAAGCTTGTATCTTGGTTACCACAGGAAAATTTCCAGTTATTTCACTGAACAAAAGGGAAAAAATGAAAGCTCTGTCTTGTTTGTAATCCAGGACAAGCACCCTAAAAGATGTGTTCGGTCTGGAGTTCCCTTTTCCATTCCCCTCCACAGACCAAATCAAAATAGGAAATTTTACCTGTGTGCAGTAGCTGGCTTTTTTAATTCAGGGGTGTTAATTATTCTCTATTAGAGCTATAGTGGGCTCTGATTTCCAGTCCTGTTAGTCTACTGAACAAGTGCAGCAATTATGGGCAGAATTTGTCTCTTAACATTTCTCTAACAGTTTTTTTTTTTTTCTTTACTGGAATTTATATTTTAAAATAGTGAGTCCTTTAAGAACGGAGATCAGAGAATCCATGAACATAGTTGTGAAAAGTCTGCTTGCACGAGACCTACATTTTTGCCTGCCTTTTACATCCATAAATGTTCTTTGCTTATTTGGGGATGAAATAGTTTGTGGTGGATATTGATCATAGTCTTTTGGCCACATTTTTAATACAAGTTAAGCTTCTTTATTGTTTGAAAGAGTGAGAAGGTTAACGTGCATATAATAGCAAATACACATCTGAATAATTAGTATGCCTATGACCAAAGAAAAGTTCCAAATTTCATTTGGAGTAAGAACATCTCCTTGAAATCATGTGGTCTTTCTAAATAAAATTAAAACCAAGGCCTTGGGTTTAATGCTACAGAATGTTCCTCTAATGCGCATTATAGTATGCTTTTCCAAAAATAATTTTGTCCAGCCATGAATCCCAGCTCTCAAAACCTTTACCATTTTTAACCCTCACCCTCCAAAAAAGTCCTTATGATTTTGAAAGCATAACAAGTTTCTTGCTCTGTCCTTCAAAGAGTAATAGAATATTTCAGAACAGTATTTTGCCTCAGTTTTTCCACCATTGTCCTTGCTAGAAGTCATTTGCAGCTGACTGTTAAAGCACAGTAAAATAATCATTCAAAAGAGTTCATACCACATGTTGGAATTGGGTTATGTTACTTAGCTATTTGCCTCATTGCAGGTGATTGCAAATGAACCCTGGGATTTCTTATGTGC